AGCAAAAAGAGGAGGATTAGCATGGATGTTAGCTCAGGGCTGATCTTCCTCACACACACAAAAAAAGAACATGACATTGAAAAAGCAATAAAACGTTGGAAGCTTAGTCAAACTTAGGATTATGATGATTTGCCATGGTATTAAAAAATGCTCACCTGCAAGTTATACAAGAAGGTACTGTTCAAACTACTTTTGATAAATTTTTTACAAAAATAAAACTTTCTTAATACTTTTTTCCATTTACTTATACATTTATAACCAACGTTAATGTGTTGACAAAATTTTTAAAGGTCATGTAACAATCATTTTCCACAATGATTGTGATTATTTTGCACAACTTCAACTTGCAGTCAATTTTACGGTCCCACACTACCGTGAAAGCAAGCACTGCCTGTATAAACAAGCTATTTAAATAGAAATCTCCTGACTAACTATATACTTTGGTTACCCCCCAACCCATTTAAAATCATAATTACATTGGGGCCAGCCTGGTGGCGCAAGTGGTTAAGTGTGCACACTCTGCTGCAGCGTCCCTGGGCACGGATGTTAGCCCAGGGCCAGTCTTCCTCAGCAAAAAAAAAAAAAGGGGGAGGGGGATTGGCAGATGTTAGCACAGGGCTGATCTCCTCACACACACACACAAAAAATCATAATTATATTATTGAAGCATCAAATTTTAGTTCAATTTACATGTTAATATTATTAATATTGGATCATCTAGTCTTAGTATGTGGTGTTATAAATGGAAAGAGACTAATGAAATAGATGGCCTTAAACTTGAAATTCTGGGCAGAGGAAGGACACAAAATGGGCAGCAAGTATGAGAGAGGAAGAAAGAAAAGGAAAAAGCAAAGCCCAGCTAAGGATGATCTTGTTTAAGAGGCTTTTTTCCTCCCAACAATGTTCTATTAAACGGGGAAAAAACGTTAAATACGTCACACATTATTAAGGATTGCACACAAAAACAAAGTGATTTCCCGAGCACCTTGCTTCTTTGGATTCCACTTGATCGTTAGTGACTGTCAATAAATGATAACAGGTTATACGTGAAATCACACTGCAAACTGCTCTGCCACATCATCAAGGCAGTCTAAAGAAAAAAATCATCTTTCACAAAAGAAATTCAAATAATACTCTAGATATTGAAGGTAGTAACTTTTCTTCCCTCTTATGCATGTTCATTTTCCTCCATATAATTACATTTTGACAAGCTTTCCTGAAAATAGAATTTAGTAAGTGACAAATACAATGCTTATCTAAAATTATGAATTGGTTCCACTTGTTTACAAATCATAATTCAAATATAAAATGCAACCACAGCAGGTTTCACAAGAAAATATTTTGCTTCAATCATATCATCATAATCTTTAGGTCACCTTTTTTCACTGAAGGACAACACATTCTATTATCCCATCATGTACCCAAGTGAAATGTCTCCTTGCTGAGCAAGTGAGCAAATGCATGAGAGAAGAGTGAATATGGATGAATCAGAGCAGAAATGGAATTGCATATTATATTCATAATCAGGAAAAAAAACCCATACATTTTGGGAAGAGTTAAAAGATGTTACTCCAGTAACTGTGGCTTCGTATGTTCTCTTTACTGATAATGGATTATGATGTTTACTGTCAACAGTCCAATGAAGGGACTAACGAGAATACATCCTAAGTAATAAATTCCAGTTTATTGAGAAACAGACAATATTAAGCACATAATATGAACTCATTTGTGCTCAATATTATATTATAAGGGTAAAGGGAGAGAGGATTAGAAACTATTAAAAAGGGTGTGAAAATACAACTTAAAGATCACGAATATTTTTATTAAGCCCAAGACATAATAGAGGATTACAGGGAGAACCCAACTACAGTTCATTAAAGATAAAACTATGGATTTAACAACAAAAGAAATAACCTATCACTGAAGATACATTAATACAGAAAAGTTACGAGAAATCCATTATGAGATCTTAAAGGTAATATTCCCAACAATTTGACTGATTTGGGTACTGTGAAGCAGGAGGAGGCAGTAATAATATTTGAAGACTCCTTTTAGCCTCATTATCCTAAAATATACTGCATATGTTCCGTATACCTTCAAGATTGGGTAAATCCACCGAGTCATGAGTTTTCAGAGTCTAAAATATCTGAAGAATCACTTTAAGAGCTTCATTAGCCTTCTAACTCCAAAGGATTATATTACTTCAGCATCTCAGTGAGTCAGGATGCCCTGAAAGTATAATCTCCAATAATTAATAAATCCTTGGTTTATAAATAAGTTTATTTATAATGATATTTACATAAAAAAACAAAACACATGAAACTCACAAGTTATACAAAGAAACCGATGTATAATAAAAACAGCAATATAGACTGACAGGCAAAAATTTAAAGAAAGATTTAATAAAGAGTTAAATATCAAGTAGACAACGTTACTTCTTCTAAGTTTCACTTTGTCACCCACACTGAATTGGAGTTGAACAATGGCTCTCTCTTCAGGAGGTCCTGTACTGGAAATTCTGGAAACTGGTAAACTATATTTTGGTAAGAGTTAAAGTTAATGACCTATTTCCATGCAGTACCTAATGCTGCCTTAATATGAAGTCACTTTCAGTCTGCTCTGAAGTGAAACAGCCTGTTACTATGT